AGTTACTTATCCTAAGTTTCTTCTGTAGTTTCTGGACAAAGGAGACTGTTGAAAGAGCACAGGGAGACTCCTGCCATCCTCTCTCCACTCTCTCCACAAAGGCAATGCATAGTTGGAAGCCATAAGTTCCTAAAGCTGCCTTTGTAAATGTTCTGCTCAATTTTTAGGCTTTAAGACAAGTAAAGGTCGACATCACCTGAGAATTCCAGAATGGCCACAATACCTAATACCTATCGATTTCAATACCTAGTCACACTTCAAATGTTTTAAAAACTCAAGCAGATACTATTCATCCTGTCCTACCTGGCTTTAAAGTGCAGATTCAAAGCCATGTGTGAAAACTCCCATTTAGCCTCTTAAGGTATTTAGGCCTTTGAACATTTGCTCCAAGCCTTAGCTCTAGGTGGTAGCCCTGCCCCTCTGTAAGTTCTTGTGTGGGACTAGAGAAGCAGGAGGAGGTCCTGTGTAGAACCTCCATAGTCTGGAGCACTGTGGAAAGGAGGATCAGGGAGAAAGGACATTTTCTGGGGTAGGTTCAATGTGAAGCAGACCAGGTTCCTTCCTATGTCTCCTTTACTCTACATTTCTGGCACTCAGAGCAGCAAAGAGAGTGCGGCTGCAAAACCAGAGAGCTTCAGCTTCAACAGTGTTTGCAGTGACACCACATGAAGAACAAATCTCATCTTACACCGTGTTCCCATTTCAGATGTTGAGTGTCTCCACACCTAGTACCGTCAGTACAAGTTGCAAGGACCTCCTCTTAACCACTTTAATTAGAAGCTGAGGTGCTCCAAGAGGATGATTCATTAAGAGCTAAATCACCTTTCAGAAACTGCTACTCTTCTCTACTCACTACAGGAGTCCAGGCATCTTATGACTCCCTCAGCTGTGTGAGGCTGGATGCACTTTGCTGCAAGCAGCACCGAGGCTCTGAAATTTCTGGTCTTCTTTTCCCAGAACATTTTCTCTCCAACAACACTGCATACATCGGCATTCTTCCCTAGAAAAAAACACAATATTTAATTGCAGTGCTTGATGAGTTTGATCAGTGCCTCAATTAAACATGCAAATACAGAGTCATTTAAATGCAAAGCACCTTTGAACAAAAATGGTAAGATAAATGCAATCAAGTTACAATTACTTTGTTTTAAGAGGGCACATTACACAAGCTCAGTAAATATGATTAGTTCTAAAACTGCCTGCACGTAACTGAGAAGTAGACTAGAAAAAGGTGCTGAGTACAGTCCTGACATCACAGTAGGTTTCAGTCTTCAAGATCTTCAACTGCTGCGTATTTTACTCCTTGCACTACCACTTTTTTATCATAATTCAGTGCTCAGGTCAAAAGTAATTAGGACTTTCTTTTCAGACAGGAGTTCATAGCTGAGTATTTCTTGTGAAATTATTGAAAGTTAAAAGTATAATTTTTTATTCATCTGTTCTCTATAAAGATGATAAAGTACAATAGCAGAGATACTGGTCTTCTCCGATTGTGAGCAAGACTAGGGGTCATAATTCATCTGAGGTGAAGCCTTCTGAATTATGGTGCTCTTGACCTCACCTGAAGGCAGTGGAGATCAACTCTGTGCTGTAGGGACATCCCTGATGAACATTTACTGTAAGACAAATGTTGTACAGTAATTATCTTTTCAGAGGGCAGGTTTGCTTTTCTGGTTCCTGTTTTTCTGTTGCTAGAAACAGTTTATGAAACCAGGGCTCTCTCTGAATTGAAGAAAGTGAAATGAAGGTCCTTTTTTTTTTGGCATGTTATTACATGTACAATAAATCAGAGTGAATTAGCTTGAGGCCAAATTCTAACCTCCTTTCTTAGGCAAAAATCTTAGAACTGGGCAAATGGTAATATTTTATGTAGTTTTATGTTTGATTTGGGTATAATTGTAAGATTATCTGTCCCATTTACATGGATTCTCATCTAGAGGTAATAATATATCAGGAGAGAAATGCTTTCTAAGAAAAAAAAGACAAATTATCAAGAATTATACTTGGACACCAGGAAAATATCTAATCGATTCCTCACTGCTGGAAATGTTCCATATTTCTGAACTGCTTCCAGTACTGACCATTAAATATTACAACAAATGTAAGGTTGCCAAATATCTTACCATACCATTCATATTTTTAGAACATAAAAATATATGGGTTTTGAACATCAGAAAAGCTCAGTGGAATTCCTCCAGCTTGAAGCAGTTATTGCAATTATCTGCCCTAAAATATTTAGGCGTGTGCAATCCTGCCACACTCATGGGTCATCACTGAGCAGCTACTGGAGGTGGATCAGTTTCCACTTGATTCCAGCTACAGCTGCTTAAGACATCACCAGCTCATCCTTTCAGGTTGCTTAACGTTTTAAGAAGTTTAATTTAACATCCAAGAAATCCCAAGACTGTAATTGTGTAAAGTGTTTTCTGTCACTATAAGTCCCCATTTAACAAAGTCACACTTCAGAAGTGTTTCTTTGTATGTGTAGTCCTCACATGAACTCAGTAAGACTCCAGTGCAGGTTTAAAACTTCAGTGTTGTCCTGAATAGCTAAGGACGTGGGCTTCACTTTAGATAAGCACTTTTGCATATGGTTAATATTTCATTTTAAGCACGTTAGTCCTCTTGGCCTCACCGGGACTGCTTCTGAGATGAAAGCTAATTGCTAGGGACATGGTGTGTGTGTGCGTGCACATGCATATGTGTTTGCAAAATTTGGAATCCACTGAAATCAATGGAACTTGCACTGTTGACTTCAAAGGGGCCCCAGTTTTACCCCAGGCATTTTGCTGCTTTAGAGACCTCTGTCTCCCTGTCAGTGTTAAATATGTTAATAGTATATTTTTTTAGCTGTTATTGTTTTATCTTATAGGAAATATCATGCAGTCTTGCAAATTAATTTACTTAATCGTATGTACTTCATTGTTATTATGTCCCTCACCTCAGTGTGCTTCTTCAACTTTCAACCACACTGGAAGGGATTAGTTTTAAGATTGATATAGTGCTTTATCTCTCAGCTGAGCATGGGATCATATGTTCAGTTTCTTCCAGCTTTTATTAAGTTGTTAAACTGATGCATCAAAGCTTAGGGGGAGTGATTCTTAAATATGAATCTTGTTTTCTACTTTGTATGGTCACAAAATCACTTTCTTAGGATTTGTTTAAATTTTAATGTAGCTGTTAAAAATTTGCTCTAAAATTTGTTTAAAAGGATTTGTTTAAATTTTAATGTAACTGTTAAAAATTTGCTCTAAAATTTGTTTAAAACTCTTCAGTACTAGCTTTCTGTTGTAGATCAGTAAAAAAGTGATGAATTGAAATCATAGATGTATATATATAAATATATTAGTTCCATAAGAACAGATACCTTGAGAATTTCTTTGTCCTGGCACTTGAAATGTTTTGGGTATTTCTGATACCATCTGTGTTTTCCCAGGTTTTTGCTTGATTGCCTTACCCTTCTCTTCTCCCAAAGAACATATTATTGAAGACAATATATCTACTCCACTTTGTCTCCTGTCACCTTTCTCTTTCACCATTCACAACACTTTAAAACTCTAGTAGTATTTTTTCAGAGCAACACACGAACTTTTCATTGACTGAAGGTCAAAACTGACTTGGAGAACAGATGGAGCGTGGAAAGTTGAACCTTTGCCACCCACTGAGCGTTAACACCTGCTTATTTGTTACATCTGCCCACTACAGCTTAGAAGCTCCTGCAAATTTTACCCAAGTGATTTAGGACCTGCTATTGGACTGAGTGCAAATGCTTTTTGTGAAAGAGGTGTTATTTTTACCTTTTTATGCAGGCTGCACATTCTGTGGGTTTAGGATGGCAATTAACTCCACGTGTTTAGACTCTAAAAGAGGGACTATGATTTTGTTGAGATGTTACTGCAGTAAAATGAAAATAAAAAAAACCCCAACTCAACATCGAGATGGCACTGAATGTGAAGTGTAAATGTTTCAAGAAGACACATAGATTTAGGATTACAGTTAATTTTGTACAATGAGGTGTTTACTTCCCTTCAGCCCAGTTGCACGTAGCATAGTTTTCCTTGGAGTTTCCAGAGAAGGTAAAATAAGACCAGTTTGTCTCCAGCTCACCAACTCCACGTGAAGGCACTTCAGCCACATAATCAGTGGGGGAACTAATGACCCTTTCTGATCTGCCCTCTGTTTGTAGTCAGATGCCTGCATTCTTGTCTTTCTGCAGTAGCCCTCTGAAAGATACCGGAGAGTGATGTCACTCTAAATCAGGAGACATCCCTGTGCTTTTCAAGACTGATCCCTGGATTTGGGTACTTGTATTTAGAGCAGCTGCCAACTGTATTTCAGTGAGAAAAATTAGGCAGTCATTTCATTAAACTGCTCTAGATCAGGTAACAGAAAAGTGGTATTATATAGCACGAAAAGAGCAGTGAATGAATAGGTGGTTTGCTTGTACCAGCTGAATCTCAGCAGAATATGTAATATATTTATCCTTGTGACTGTGTGTTTAAGATTAGAAGCATGCTTTTTAACTTTATGGAACATAGTTTATTGGCCTGATCCAAGGTCTATTGATATATGGAGTCATGCTAATTTTCTTTAGCTTGCCTTGGGCCCTCAAGGATAAAACTCAAGAAAAGTAATTAGGAGAAGTGTTATGTTGTGGATATCATTCCTAAATACTGTATAATGAAGTTCTAAACAATAAAAATGGGAAAAAATGTGTTCACACATTTTTGTGGTTATTTCTCAGGTTAAGAATATGCTCCATACCCTTGTTGCAATCCAGAAGAGTGTACAACAACAAAGAGAACTTGTTTGTTGTTCAGAAAACTATTTTTCTTTATTCCACATGTGTCCTAAAACATTTTAAGCAGTTGGCCCAGATCATCAAAAGCTAGCAAAGTCTGATCATAATGAGACATTTCTAACCTTATTGCAGGTTATGTGAGATTATGAATCTCCAAGAATATAACCAACTTTCCTTTCTGTTTTTCTGCAGGTTGAGAAACAACAATTCTAAAAACATGCATCGAAGGCACACAACCCTTCGGGAGAAGGGCCGGAGACAGGCCATCCGGGGCCCAGCCTACATGTTCAATGAGAAAGGCACCAGCCTGACTGCAGAAGAGGAACGCTTTCTCGATTCTGCAGAATATGGCAACATACCCGTTGTGCGAAAAATGCTGGAGGAATCCAAAACCTTGAACTTTAACTGCGTCGATTATATGGGACAAAATGCCCTACAGTTAGCTGTTGGGAATGAGCACCTGGAAGTGACAGAGCTCCTCCTCAAAAAGGAGAATCTCGCTCGAGTTGGAGATGCGCTTTTGTTAGCGATCAGCAAAGGATATGTGCGCATTGTAGAAGCAATATTGAACCACCCAGCCTTTGCACAAGGCCAGCGTCTCACACTCAGCCCCCTCGAACAGGAACTGAGAGATGATGACTTTTACGCCTATGATGAAGATGGAACTCGGTTCTCCCATGACATTACCCCTATCATACTTGCTGCCCACTGCCAGGAGTATGAAATTGTTCACATCTTACTCCTAAAAGGCGCGCGGATTGAGAGGCCTCATGACTATTTTTGCAAGTGCAATGAATGTCTTGAGAAGCAGAGGAAAGATTCCTTTAGTCACTCTCGATCGAGAATGAATGCCTACAAAGGATTAGCCAGTGCTGCTTATTTGTCTCTTTCCAGTGAAGACCCTGTCCTTACTGCTCTAGAGCTAAGCAATGAACTGGCCAGACTAGCCAACATTGAAACTGAATTTAAGGTAATTTACCGCTGTGCCTTTTTCCTTGGGCTGAATGTGTTCAGGGTGCTGTTTGATCAAGTCTTGGTTTGCCATTTGAGAGGGTGGGGAGGAAACAGAAGCTACAGAAACCACCAGACGTGTTAACTGCATGTAGATTCAGATCGCTGGGTGTTCCCAGTTGATAAATATTTGGAACTAAATACTGCATATTATAGCAAAGCCATCCTTACTTTTATGTTGTGCATTGTGATTGCTTAGAATCTCTAGTTTGCAGCAGGAAAAAAAAAAATAGATTATTACAAAAATGGAGACTCATTTTTTATAAGAAAGGTAAGTCTATTTAATTGAGTGATCTATTTTAGAGACAGAGCTCTAGAGGTTGGTTTAATGGATAAAGAATCCAGTACGTCTAATTCTCTTACAATGATAAAAAGGTATAAATTAAGCAATTTTGTTCTCTGTAAAATAATTAAAATTCCATTGCATCTTAATGGTTTAGTACTGCATCTGTATATGATGAATTTCATTAAAAAGGAAGGGAATGATCAAGAGATTGCTATGAAGTTTATCATCATGCCAAACATAAATGGAACTTGCAGAACTCTCTTACAAGTTATTCAAGATTTCCATTATCATAACGAGTTCATAAATGTCCAATGTAATTTGAATTATTTTTCTAAGTCATTTACATGACATAAATAGCATTGTCTCCCTTTCTAAAATAAATTAGTCATGAAAAAAATGCATTTTCAGTGGCTCAGTCATCAACATAAGACTGTTTTCTGATTTATGACTATTGCTCAGCTACAATCACGATCAATGACACTGGGATAATAAAATCTATATTGTGAGTAAACTGGGGTAGGATGTCTGCCAGGTATCCATTCTTTTTAATTTAAAACTATTCAAGTGTTCAAGCATCCATTTCAGGATTTGTAACTCTACTCTCTCTGATTTAAAAGTGACAAGAAAACACGTTCTAAAGATGTTGCCTTTGAAATTCTGTAGTAAGTCTCTAATGGGAAAAAAATACCCAAACCACTGAGATCTTTTGGCAATTAAAATAAGGGCAAAATCTTGCAAACTCTTTTTACCCATGTGAATCAGAATTGGAAGGACTTAACAATTTCAAAGGGAGTTTTTACTTGCATGGATTTCAGTCCTAGTAAAGCAACCTCACTGGGTTCGGTGAATCTGGCTGCTTGAGTGAGAGTCACTCTGGTGTGAAAGCACTGGGGGCTGACACCCACAGTGAACATTAATATCTTATTAATGTTCCACCTTCTTTGCAGTAGAAAAATATATATTTTGTGGAGCATGAGCCACCTCAGTATTGCATGCCTGTCAGTCCTGATAAGCGTCTTGCTGCAGAAAAGTAAATCTATTTCTACCAGAATCCCTCTTTTTGTTCATTGAGCTGCCAGCACGGTCCGGACTGGCACTGGCAGGTACATGAATCCTCCAGGAGCAAACAAGCAATCAAACGTTAAATAGTTTCATGGTACTTATATCTCCCCAGCACTGGCAAATGAATGAGAATAAATCAATACAGGAAAATCATTAGAAACCCTTTGCCAAATTCCTGCATTTCCAGGAAAGCTTTCCAATTTCTTTGCCTTATTGGAAGGTTCTGCACAACACACTTCTGTGTATGTTAGTGAAGCACCTCAGATGTACCCATACCACTAGCTTACTTCAAAGTTGTCATATTCCTTTAATATATTAATACTTCCAGAAATAAGAAACGTCTCAGGATTATAATGTATTCACTCTGTAGAAAAAAAAAAAAAAATCAGATGTATGTATTTATGCAAAAATATTTAGTCTTATTAACATAATCAGTGTGATGTGGAACAGGGTATTAATAAAACAGTAGGATTTTTTTTTTCCCAGAACATGACGTTTTGAGAATTTATTTCTAGAAAAGAATGTGATTGCTGAAAACGTATTTAAAAGCCCACAAATTATGAAAATTTGTGAAATCAGAAAAGCTCCAGAGGACTCTTTTTTTTGTTCCTTAAAATAATACTTTCCTAAACTTTTACATTTTTATTGCTAAAGTTCTGTAATTAAAATTGGTACTCAACAGATTTATAAAATTATCACTTGGGATTACTTCAGAATAATTATTTATATGCAGCCTTAGCAATACAGTTTTCAGGAGGCACAAAAAGTCCTTGAAACAGAAGGACACAAGTAAGATTTTAATAATGTAGGTGGACAAATATTAATTAAGCATTAGAAAACCTACCTCTGAAGAACCTCCTAGCACGAGCTAATTAAAACATAAATGCAGTGCCTCTCACCTGCTGCTTGCTGCCCTAAATCTCTTATGCAATAACACCATTCAGCACATCAGACTGAGGAGCCAGTACATGCACTATGTTTTTAGAGAACATAACACTTTTTAGGTGAGTTATATCTTTGTACAAATGTGAAAGGCAAAACAAAAGAGCCACAGGAAGCAGCGGCAGAAGCTGGGTCCCTTGTTATCACCCTAAATTGCTAAGAGTCAGTCATACATTGCAGTTCTTCAGAAATGTCTTTGCATAAGCATCTCACAGCATGAAGTAGTGTAGGAGGTGGAAATGGGAGTCTGGATGTATGGTAGATCACACTGCTGGCCTCTAGCAGCCTTTCTGTTGAGCAGTCAATAGCTCTTTAATAGCAAGAGTAGATGTTCTGGCCATCAGTCTAGAGTGGAGATACTGCCCTATTGAACTGCTTTCTTGATGTGTTGATTTTGGCTCAAAAGCAAGGTCAAGGCAGTCAGCTGCTGTGTGGCTTCCCACATGCTGAAGAGAATAATAAAAATGGAGGTTTGGAGCTGGAAGAAAGAGGGAAGCTGTGAGAGCTGATGAACGTGGATGATTTTACTGGAGCAGGCACTCTATTGGGGTAAATCAGTGCTTTTTCACTGATAGATGAGGCCACAGAAGATGAGGAACTGTCCCAATATTTAGAACAAACATATAGTTTGGGTCAATGTTGTTGTGCCATTATTTCAAGCAAATGTCAGCTTTTGCAGTGCTTATTGATAAGGGGGGGGGACATAATAATGTTACATTCACAAAGAAATAATTTAAATTTTTTCCCTTCAATTATTCAGTGTCAAAGTCTTGCAAAAAAAAATAATCTTATTAGTAGGAGCAAATGAATTGCTTTGAGAGATGTAAAAGATGAAAAATATTGAACTGGTTAGTTCTACTGAAAATTAGCCTAGAAACGGGATGGATTTGAAATCCCTCAGGGGTGGATTCTTGATGTTTCAGCAGAGAAGTACATGTCAGGGTCACTGTGCAAGTTTGCAGGTCCTTATGCAACAACAACCTTCCAGAGTGGAGGAAGCCCAAGTTGAAAAAAAAAAATAATCTTAACTCACTGCTTTGCCATTTTTGTATATCCCATTTGAAAGCTCAGAATTAAGAACCAGCTCATGACTTTCTCCTTCTTTTCAGTTTTCATTTTTTGTTTTAATAAAAATAAAAAATCACTGTCTACTGGAGCAAGGGAAATACATATCAGGGACCTGGTTTAGTCCACTGGATTAGGCCCTTGGTCTGTATTGCCCTTGGAAAGAGAGAGAAAGAGAGGGGAGCCTTCCTCCTTTTGGGGTCTAGAGGGATCCTAGCTCTGCTAGGCTGAAGTTATTTGTTTTCTCCCTCAAAACAGCTTCATATTTTAATCACTGGCCTCATGGCTGATTTACACTCTTCAAGGAAAACTCTAAAGCACAATAATTTTGTCCTATATTTCTGTTTGAATTTTAATTTTAATTTTTAATTAAAATAATACCCTCAGTTTCCCACCCAGTTGTGCCAACAGTCTGCAGAAGCACGGTCACTGATCGTAGAATCATCAAATGATTTGGGTTGGAAGGGACCTTTCAAGGGCATCTAGTCCAACCCCTCTGCTGTGAACAGGGACATCTTCAACCAGGTCAGGTTACTCAGAGCCCCATCCAACCTGACCTTGAGTGTTTCCAGGGATGGGGCTTCTACCACCTCTCTGGGAAGCCTGTGCCAGTGTTTCAACACTTTCATCATAAAAAATTTCTTCCTTGCATTCATCTTGGTATTTAGGCAAAGTATAGCTTAATATCTCTTAATCAGTTTGTATATATCTCATATTGTGTGAAGATATTTTACAGCTTCTAAGTAGAGCTGACTATAAAAATAGAAGTTAAACACCTGAAGCTACTGGGCCTTGCAGTGCTTTTCCTCAAATTGAAAAAAATCTGTGTACCCTCCCTTTTTTTTTTTCAAAGCTGGCAGACCCTGAGCCTGAGTCATAAAGAAAATAATCCTTCTCTCATCTACCATTATATTCTGTTTGTTTTGCTCATGCAAGTAAGCTTGATGTCACTTCCCGTGTGAATGACATGGCCAGGATTTGTCCATATTAATAATTCATCACCCATGAGCCAGGCTGATGACAATTGCTCTCCTCTTTGGTCCAGAGAAATCGATCTTTCTTGTGTCACCTTGGTGTGAAGCCATATGCAGATGTCTTCACCATTACCAGCTGTCCTCAGCCAGGTGACTCATTTCTAAGACTGGAATATTAAAATCAGAGTCAATGGAATCATTTTTATATGTCCACCGAACCCCTTAAGAGCTGACTTTTCTAGCAAACAGCTGGCAGGAAATGTCCTTGCAGCTGTCTTTAACAGCAGCATTAGGCTTAATATTACAATACATATCCTGGAAATGCAGAATAATAGCTCTGTTTACTCTTTTTTAAAGCTGTGACTGTGCATTCCTGTTTCTGGTGAGATCCCATTCAGCACCCAGGTCTGTTTTACAACCTTGCACGTTCTCAAATCAGACTGCATGCTTTGTGTATGTCAGGAAATGTCCTTGTGATGAAGACAATCAGCCAATTCATTCCATTTAGCAATCCAGACAAATTAAATTATAGAATTGCAAAGGAGGCTATGAAAAGATCTCACCAACCGTAAGTGGTAAATAAAATCTCAGCTCCTGTTGATTAAAATGTTACTGAAGGCATGATCAAAA